AATTTTTATTTATGAAATAATAAATTATTAAATTAATTTATTATTAAATATTTAATTATAATATAATATAATTAACCCATCCCACCTTCACCATCTCTACCGCTCCGGCGACTACTCCGATTCCGGAGACCGTTCCGGCGATTATTCCAGCGACCGTTCTAGCGTCGATTTTTCTGGCGACTGCTCCGCTATATTTTTTTGTACGGTTAACATGTTTTTTTTACGGTCACAACTCAGGTCACAAGTCACATCTCACAAGTCACGGCCCATGTCACATGTCACAGTCCATGTCACAAGTTACAGCTTAGGTCACAAGTCAAGAGTCACAACCCAGGTCACAAGTCGCAAATCAAGTCACAGGTCAAGTCACAAGTCACAACGCATGATTGTTTTGTTTATAATGATTGATAACATGATAATTTTTATCTATTAATCACATATTTTCAAATCTATTAGTCACATATTAATTTTTAATCACAAATTTTCAAATTTCAAGGTCCTGAAAATGTTTCTTTAATTGAAGCAAATGATTCCCAAAGGGGATTGATTTTCCAGGAGAAACAAAAAGTTGCAAGTCCCAAGCAATTTACTTGGGTTCTTCTTCTCAAAGCACACATGGTGGTGGCTTGTATTCCATGGCTTCTCAAATCACCACACATCGCCGCTGCTGTGGTGGAAGCTGTTGCAGAATTTCTCCGAGCACAAAAAATTTTAGACGGATCTTTGGCTCAGCTCAAAACAGTTGGTACGCAACTCTTTTCAGCAAAATCCACCGCTATCACCGTACCCAACACCGCACGCCACTGTCGCCAGATCTGCCATCACTTGCACCAACCGTCGCCGCCGCCGCTGCTTCACTCTGCTGAAGTGACAATGGGGACTGGGACCACCACCACAACCGCCATTTCCAGCCAACACAAATTCACTGTTAACAAAAAACCATCACTACCAACACATTACCCTCACCGCCACCGCCACATTCGCTACTGCCAAATCCACCGCCATCACTGCGCCCAACACCACACGCCTACAGTGGTTGGATGGAAGGTTGTTTTCAGCACCGGCAGCGGGAATACTGTTGGGTAACGCTGTTGCGAGTTCGCAGCAGCCTCGGCGTACTGGGAACGACAGCTTTCGTAGGGAACGACGCAGCTCCTTCCGGTGGTGCCTTCTCATCTTCCCAGCTTCTTCCGGTGGCGCCGGGATTGGTAGACAGAGAATGAGAGGAGAGAGAGAAGGGAGGGGTAGAGAGACAAAGCAAATGAAATTTTTTTTGTGAATTAATTAGGGTTTGGATTATATGTATTTAGTAAAAATATTAATTAAAATAAAACATCTGATTTTGAAAATATTAAACTTCCAATCTGATTTTAGAAGATTTAAAACTTAAAGTATGGTTTTGTGTAATTTCCTCGTGTACAAATGCATTGGCCTAAGTTTATCCTTCACTTTTAATGCCAATCTTTTTATGGCCCAAAAATAATTTTGGCCTAGAACCAACGAGCTAGCTATCATGTAAACGTCGAGAATTCCCCATTATTGTTAAAATAAGTAACTTGTGTATTGTTAATGAGCTCTACAATTTTTCAACTTCACATCTCATCAACTTTTATCAAAATTTACGAAAAAATTGATTTTTGATTTTAATCTCTACCTAACAGGTCTTAGATAGTCTATCATGAACATTATTTCAAAGGAACTTGACACGTGCTCTTCATTTTCACGTTCTTGTGCTTTTCGGTAATAAGGAAAGGTCACACTTTCACAAAATAAAAAATAAAAAAAGATAGGGCATGTTAGGTTAATTTAGGTAAACTTTTATTTTTAAATATGTTTTAGTAGGAGTAATGCTGAATACTATCGATAGTCGCTCTACGTGATAATACATCGAATAATAAATTGTTATGTGTATGTCCATGTAAGATGACTATCGGTATTTCTCATTATAAATAGCATTATTCTTTAATGGTGAAGCAATCAAGATAAGATTCGGAAATTTGTCAACTTGATCACCCAAAGATGAACAAAGTCAGATCTATATTCAGAAATATATGTTATATGTACGTTAAAAAATTTCTCTGTAAGTTGACAAAAATATTAAAATCACTGGAGCTGTCCCTCCGCCCCCACAGTGAAAGGGGAATTTCGTGACTTGGACAAGCCGGTATTTTTGCTGGTCAACCGGCCAAAGTTTACACTCCCATGTGTCAAGCCTGGCTTATATGGACGAAAATGACAAAAATATAACATTGTAAGTCAACACATGTTTAACGCATTAAAAAGAGAGACATTAGTTTTTCAGAGCAGATTACAAAAGACTGCGAAAAATGGAGGGGCTGCGGCGGAGCATAGGGTGGCCCGCGGCGGCGCTGGTGTTGACATGCACGGTGCTGGTGATGATGCCGACGGAGGCGTCTGCATCGCGTTTCATCGTCGGAGCTAACATGGGGTGGACTTCAAATGTGAACTACGCCATTTGGACTAAAGGCAAACATTTCCATCTCGGCGATTGGCTCTGTATGCTCTTTCTTTCTCTTGCTTTTATATTCAGAACTATGCCTTTTGAGCTTTTCTTTTAAGATTACTCCAGCTGGTTTTGTCAAAAAGATGCCTTGTCTATGAAATTTAACCACATTTACAGTATGAAATTTTAGCAGTGCAGTAGTGTGTTAAATTGTATCTCGTGTCTGTTAATTGATACATAATGTAAACAACTTAGTTTTTGTTGCTTGTAAATGAGGGAAGATGTAGAATTGCAAAGTTAGCCTCCATTGATATTCATTTTACTGTCTAATTATAAACTATTTATAAATTTGACAAACGAATGCTTAATTTGCAGTGGTTTGATTTCAATAAAATTAGTTCTATTACCGAATGTACCCTTTAGATTTCAGCAACTTTCACTCATGGAACAACACTAGAAGCAACTCCGATTTGTAGAAACAATTCTACTGTTAATTTTACGTCTAACAGTTTAAACTTTTAGATGAGATGGTTCAACACATATCATACATGCTTATAGTTTATTGAGTTTTGGATTGTTTATTTTTTCACACTTGAAAGTAGTTTTAGAATTTGTTGACATGTAATAGTAGTTTCTATTGAGAGTTAAAAACCATAATTTTATACTGCTATAAGTAATAAAATCTCAGTAAGAAAATAAACACACAAAAACGCATAAAATTTTGTAGAGAATACTCCGCTCCACACAGCCAACGATAATTGTAGTTAAATACATGTTTCTTATTGCACTTCATGTAAAGATTTATGTTTTCTTACTATACATTTGCACTACTTACACGTCTTTCTTAATCTATTTTGAGTTTTGACCCATCTTGCCATGTCTGCTAGTTTACATTGTTTAGAATTTTGAGCTTATTTTCTTTCCATGCACGTATACTGAACATCGTGTTTAGCATTTAATAACTGGCCTTTTCGTTTCAGTCTTCGTGTATGATAGGCACCACGTGAATGTGCTTGAGGTAAACAAGAGAGATTACATGAACTGCAATTCCAATCACCCCCTTCACAACTGGACCGCCGGTGCTGGAAGGGACGTTGTTCCTCTCTATGTTACAAAAACTTACTATTTCATTAGCGGAAAAGGATTCTGCCGTAGAGGCATGAAAGTAACTATTCGCGTTGAAAAACCGCAGCCCCGATCATCAACTTTCAACTTTGCCATAAAAGATTGATATGGATTTATGTGTGGTTTCAGGATTCTTGAGTTGTTTGCTTCTATATTTTGTTGAATTATTATGACATGAATGGTTTAGTACTTATCCTATGATCATCTCGTGAAGAACCAAGTATGGGTTGAGCATCTTTAAAATGGTTTGTAATATGAGCAAGGATATAAGTCACTTGTTACTTCAGTTTTTGTAGCTATCTTATAAATTCAAACTTATTCTTCCAGGTTATGAACGTCTGTGGAAACTAATTGACAATTCTTCTGTGTTCCTATGAGTTATCATAGAGATTTTTTCCCCCTTATAGAATTTAGAATAGCAAATACTATTCACGAGAGTTAGCTGCAAATTTTCCAAGTACAAGAGCAGCCACATTAGCTTCTCCTTGATTTCGACATATTACTCGCAAACTGATTTCGACATTGCAGTAATCATCATTCCTTTATAGTTCCTGAAAATGATCACCACGCCATAGAAATTATGACCCTCCTTGATGGAAACATCAACATTCGCCGCCTACGCATCTCAGCAGCAACCCCAGATTGTGGGTCAGTGCCAAGTTTATTCTCAACCATATGCACCTTCAAGAATTCTAGCAGGCTCGCGTTGAACTCCGATACAAGTTTCTATTCCCGCCATAGAACCATTAATAACCATAAGTAGTTCCATCTCAGGCTTTGAAAACATTCGTCAAGCTTGCAGCAAAAAGCCACGACTCTTGGGCCACTATACAGTTGCACCCACAAGCTCATTCCCCAAACCTCAATGACCATTTCTTATTTGAATGAGTGTAGAGCACTTTCCACCCCATTTTCACATCTCTCACATGCTTCTTACTGGGATATGCCGATGTCTCAAAATCTCGGAAGAATTTGATTTTACTCGACCATCCTGATAACGGGCTTGGGAGTTCAATTTTTTTTGTGACATTGCCAGCCGGTATCCCGATTCAATCATGCACTTAACCTTCTCGTCAAAATGCCAAATTGCATATCACTAACACCTGGTACGTCACCAGGTATGTTGAGAATGAGCTCTGTATCAACTGGTAGAAGATTGGCCTGAATTGCCTTCCCATTCCAACTCCCGGCCTCTAATAATAAATCTGCCACACTAAGCCAGAGGTTCCCATAGCTCAGTGAAATAAAGCGAAAAGAGTGGTGGTGGTGGAAGGGGTTGGGCCAAGAAGAAAGGATTTTTTATTTTTTATTTTTATTTTTAATTTTTAGTTTTTAATTTTATTATTATTTTAATTGAGATTTTTTTGTACATTCGAAAGAATTGAGACTATAATTAATTTTTTTTATAAAAAATCGTCATGACTTTATTGAAGAAAATGAATGAAAAAATATTGTTTGCTTGATCTGAGGAGTATTACTCCAAAATGAGAGGATATTGTGCAAAACGTGAAAAGAGTAGGATTCATGGTCATGTATCAATTTCCAAAAAAAAAAAAATTTTGGTTAATTTCAAAATACATTTTCAATCATGCTATAAATACGGACAATTTTTGAAGAAAATATTTACATATAACACTTGGCATGTATTCATTGGAAGATGAAAAAATAAAAAAAATAGGCGAACCACATTTTGCCATGTCAGCTTCAGTAAGAAATCTGACAAAAAATTTATGTACTTAGAGTTTGTTTGGGAGGGATTTTAATCCAATTAAAATTGAAAATATAGTCGTTATTGGGTCTCACTCGTCTAATAAAAGTCAATAATAACGACTAAGTTTTCAATTTTAATCCGATTTTAATCTCTACCAAACAAACTCTTATACTTTTTCCACACATTTTTCTTTCTCACATTTTTCAAATTCAAAAATTTTCTTTATTTTTTAATCATACGGGGTCATTTATCTACTATTTCAAAATATATTCTTAACGAAAAAAGGGGTTTCAAACAAGTGCTTCCGCTAAGTTTACTTACTGCGTATAAGTAAATTTTGTAAGCTTAGCCAAACATCTCTCTCGGAGTACTTGGACGGGACGAGAATTGGGATAAGATATTTGAGCCATCCACAGAACTCTCACATTTTTTCCCTCCAATGGCGACAACTTTTCCTTCTACCTCAGTGCAATCTCCCCGCAATTCCTTTACTCCATTCAAACCCTACAAACCTTCTTTTATCTGGGCCCCCAGAAGATTTTCTCGATTCATCATCCCGTCATTTCAAACTCAACTGCCACTATCACCACTCTGTTCCTCCAATGACACCACCGCGGCCACGGCGGAAGACGAAATGCCAAAAAACGTAGAGGCAATGAGCACTGATGTTCTTCGACGCTTTATTAATCTCAATTTAGGCAACTGGATTGGCTCTTTCCATGTCAGTATCAATTTTTTGAATTTTGCTGATTTGAAGAAAACTATACGGATTATATTATGTATTTCTCTTGCTTTTTTTTTCTAGCAATTTGATTGTCATGGGAATTTGCTGCATAAAATTAGTACAAAGCTTGCGGTGGGCTCTTATGGTGAAGATGAACTTCTCAGTTTAATTCAAACGTACTTTTTCTTTTCCTCATGGTTCTGTTATATTAGATTATTTATACGTTTTCCACTGTGTTTTGAGGTTAGATTGATTTTGTTTGGATAGTTATTTCAGGAAATTCATTCATTTCTTATGCCTACGTATTATAAACAAATGTTGCCAATATCCACTTCTGTTTGTGTTTGAAATTTGAGCTTAACAAGAATGGAGGTTAACAAGAAATGCTCGACATCCCGATTAATTAGTCTGGTTTGAATGAAGTTCAATTTCTACGGCAAATTAAGAAGAGCTGCATTAAAAAGTAGTTTAATTGAATAATGCTCTAAAATAAAATCTTTTCATTTTATCTATTATGTTAGTGTATATAATGTGAGTGTTGCTTCGTGGTGTTATTTTCCACTTATGAAAAGGCAAACTTTGAGTACCTTATATCGTACTAATTTGGTGCTTACAAAATTAAAGAGAATCAGGTGTAATTGTGTAAATCTCAAACCAGCTCTTGTTTTTGCATTACATACTTAGTTGATCCCTTCCATTCTTTTATTGGAATTTGTTTTTTCCTTATCACCACATAAAGGAAAATGATTTCCTTTGGCATTTTATTGCTTAACAACAACCTGCTGAATTTAACTTATCCATGTTCGTTCGAAGAACTTAATTGGTTTTAAAAAATTTAGGTTATACATCAAACAACCTCCAATTGAAGATGGTTATGAGCCAGAGTGGTTTGAGTACAAAATTAAGGAAACTAACATGTTCACTGTGGACAAATATCAACAGGTGAGCCTTCTTATTTTGAAAGCATTATTGGTCACTCATTGTTAGTTCCTCATTGCAAAGTTTTAATCTTCATGTTATAAATTTATTATATGGATTCCTTTTTTTTTGTTCTTTTATTTCAGCATCCATTGATATTAGTTTGCAGATAGGTTTCTTTTCCAAAGAGAAGGCTTTTGCTTTGAGGTATCAGACAGCCGGAATGTTGGAGACTGTGTTAAGACAAGGGGTCCTAGGTGAAGATGATATTGGAGAAGAATCACCCAAGTAAGTGCTTTTTTAGTTGTGAAACTACATCCAAAGCATTATGCCTTTTGAAAATTAGCAGTTTAACAGGTATCTGTTCTTGAAACAAAGGAAAATTTTTGGTGTTAGATTTTCTATTTACATCCAATCCTCTATTTGGATTGCTGTGGCCATTAAGAGCTGTGTTTAATGCGTATTACTGGAAAAGACTCTATAATACAATAGACAGGAGTATAACTTCTTCTTTTTTCCCTTTAAAATTGTTCAAGGACTTATATTCTATACAAATATTACACAGTAATAATGTTTTCAGTAATATCATGAATGCTTGATTGTACTTGTGTCTTTACAATTTTTCCTGGCCCTTACTCATGTTGGTTCCATTGTTTAATACCAATCTCATCTTTCTCGTTGTTGCTTTTCTTTTCACAGAAACTTAAAGCTACCTTCTCGCCGGCCTTCTCTTGTGTGTGAAAACTGTCTTTATTCCTTAGAGAAAAATATGCGAGTAAGAGCATTTCATATCATGGATCCAAGAGGCATTCTAGATACGCTTCTCGTATTCCTTGAAGAAAGAGGCAGCAAAGTGCTTGTTCATCCTTCCTTCGACAATTCTAATGTATGTCTAGATCTATACAAACGTTCTCTCGAGATATCAATTGTAATTTGAATATCAACCATAGTATCTACCTCATGCATCCTCAAAGAATCACTTCCTAATACTAAGCTATTGGTTCTAGGACATGGACAGGATTAATCCCTTTTTGGGTACATGGAAAGGTCATTCTAGAACGAAGCGCAGTGGCGTTTACGGAGCTACAATAGCTGAAGCAGATACAATAGCTGTACTCAAAATCAATGAGGATGGTCAGCTCATTCAGGTTTGTCAGTCTTGTAGAACTGTGTTTCCCTTTTCCTTCCGAAATTTGAGAGTTCTCAAAACAATATTAAAAGTTTTTTATTATTGTTTTTGTAATAGTGATTTAATAAGCTATTAATATTAAAAGACAGCAACAGGTTTACAATAACTAAAGAAACGTTATTTATGAGAAAGAAATTTCCACACGTTGGTCTTTTTCCAATATTTTAGTGTCAAAAGCTTCTATATGTTCGGCAGCTTACTAATTCTCCCGCAAATATTTCTATCGCCTTTTTTAGTCGTTTGGTAAACTTAAAGGTTAACTAGGAAATTATTTTACAAATGTCAAAGACTGAGGAGACGATGTCCATCTTTCTCAGAGTTGACATCTATAAATATGTGCTCTTTTTCATTCAAGGTAGTTGTTTATCTCATATTTTGACTGTACATGTTTCTGTGCTCAAACTTGATGGATGCTTAGTGGACATTCTGTTTAAGTCATATATAGTTTTGTTTCGTATGAATTTTATACTGTGCTTTTGAGAGTTTAGTCTCGTCTCTGTTAGATTCTTACCCGCTCCTTTCAATGGACCATTTAAGCTAATTCTTTCGTTTTTCTTGGTGCTTACAGGATATTACATCTACATCAGACAGAAGCAATGTTACCACTAACGTACATTGGACAGGATCCATGTCCAACAACTTGGTCACATTCGACGGTGGCTTTCAGCTGACTTTATTACCCGGGGGCATGTACTTGGGGTGCCCTTCTGATGTAGCGAAGAGTGTGCAAGAATCCAAGTCGTTCCATTTGGAGTTTTGTTGGGTAGAGTCACCTGGCAAGAGACAGAGATTGGTGCGGACGTACGATGTAGAAGGCTTAGCTGTCTCGTCTACGTATTTCTATGAGACCAAACTATGAGTATTCATCTTCCTTTGTGTACACTCACTTTACTGAATTGGGTATAAGCTATAATTGTACGCAATCCAATTCAAAAGTTGTACTTCCCAAAAGGATATGCAAATTTGCATATAATTTTCAGAAATTATCGTTCAACTCAGCTAAAACTCCATAGAGAGCTAAAGTTCAAGAAAAAAAAATTTCATGTGAGGAGAGAACCTCATTAAAGTATATTAGTCATGAAAGAACAAGCAGAAACAGTGTAGACGTTGAAATCCGTCGATGGCATTCACATCAAGTTAGGAGGGCTTTTCGATGGGGAGCCAGGGCTTTTCGATGGTATGGAGTTCTGGTGGTTTTGGCGGTGGTTGGCTGGGGATTTTTGGCTTCAAAGGTGGCGGTTTTGGGGTGATGGTTTTTTCAAATCTGGACTTGTTTGCAACTTTTAAAAAGTTTGGACATATAATCGCAATATGTTTTTTATTTTTCTTTTCTTTTGCTTTTGTTATATTTGATTAGGAGGGTAAATTCGT